GTTTATTCCTTTGTTGTTCCTTGTTCCTTGTTTGGTTTTCATTTTGTTCCTTTTTCTGGTTTCTCCTTCCAGTCTTGTGGTCTTTTTTTTTTTTTTTTGGGGTGAGGGGGGGGGGAGGGGTTTTTTCTTCTTTTTTTCTTTTTGTTTCCTATTTGGTCCTATTTATGGCGTCGGGTGGGGTCTCTGGGTTCTTTCGTTTTGGTTCGTTCTTGTCACGGGCAAACATTCATCTCATCGAAATACAAAATCAAAAAAAATAAAATAAGAGAGAGGTACCGCGAAGCCGTTCTATAGTACTAAGCAATTTTTTTTCCTGATTTAGTTAATAATATAATTTTTTGTAAGTTATTTTTTTCTGTTCTGTTGTATTTTTTACTATAAAATAGATGTTATTGTTGTAATATTATAACCAGAAAAGGAAAGGATGATATGGTAGAATTAATTTGCACATACACGAGATTATTTGACCGGTTCGAATACATCTCCTCCAGAAATAAAAGTATTCTGACGACGATCTAATACATCTCTTGTTATTGGAGTATTCTTCAAACCATTACCTTTCTACATTTACTATAAATACGGTAAATTCTTAACAAATGGCAGTTTGAACTAGATCTATTTTTTTATTATATCACACACATATACGAAAGCTTCGGCATAAGTAATACAGCAATGAAAGCTTGTCTGTATCTTGTGTTACTTCCTGTGCATTGTGTGTTTGTGCGTGCCTGAGTAATTATCATGAGATAACATTTTTTTTTTCATCTAAGCAAAGGATTAAAAATTCGAACTGAGAGAGAAACCTAAAGTGCTGGTTTTAAATATAATTTGTCTGTCTGTTCTTGTGCTGTCTTGTAACTGTCTGTCTGTCTCTCTCTCTCTCTCTCTCTTTCTTCTCTCTCTTCTCTCTCGTCTCTTCTCTCTCCTCTCTCTCTCTCTCTCTCTCTCTTTCTTCTCTCTCTCCTCCTCTCCTTTCTCTCTCTTCCTCTCGTCTCTCTCTACCTTTCTTTCTTCTTCTTTCGCTTCCTCTTTCTCCTTCTCTCTCTCTCCCTCTTTCTCTCTCCTCTTCTCTCTCTCTCTCTTTTCTCTCTCTCTCTCCTCTCTCTCTCTCCTCCTCTTCTACCTCACTCTCCACTCTCATCTTCCTCTTCCTTCTCTCTCTTCTCTCTCTTCTTCTCTCTCTCTCGTCTCTCTTTCTTTCTTTCCTTTTGCTCATCTCTCTCTTTCACTCTACTTTCTTTCTTTACTTTCTCTTCTCTCTCTCATCTCTCCCTTCTTCCTCTCTGCTTCTCTTCCTCTCTCCTCTCTTTCTCTCTCTCTTCCATCTTCTCTCCCTCCCTCTCTCTCTCTCTCATCTCTCCTCTCTACTCATCTCTCGATTTCATCTCTCTCCTCTCTTCCTCTCTCCTCTCTCTTTTTCTCTCTTCTCCGCTCTTTTCTCTCTCTCTCTCTCTCTTCTCTCTCCTCTTTCTCTCAATCTCTCCTTCCCTCTCTCTCTCTCTTCTCTCCTCTCCTCTCTCTCCTCTCTCTCTCTTCTCTCTCTCTTCTCACCTCTCTCTCTCTCTCTTCTCTCTCTATCTCTCTCTCTCTTCTTCCTCTTCCTCTCTCTCTTCCCCTCTCTCTCTTCTCTTCTCTCCTCTCTCTCACCTCCCTCTCCCTCTCTCTCTCTCTCCTCTCCCCCCCTCCCCCTCTCTCTTCTCTCTCTCTCTCTCTCTCTCTCTCTCTCCTCTCTCTCTCTCTCTTCTCTCTCTCTTCTCTCTCTCTCTCTCTCTCTCTCTCTCTCTCTTCTCTCTCCCTCTCTTACTCTCCCTCTCTCTTCTCTCTCTCCTCCTACTCTCTACTTTCCTCTCTCTCCTCCTCTCTCTCTCTCCCCCCTTCTCCTCGCTCTCCCTGCTCTCTCTTCTCCCCTCTTCTCTCTCCCTCTCTCTCTCTCTTCCTCTCTCTCTTTCTCCCTTCTCTCTCTCTCTCCCTCTCTCTCTCCTCTCTCCCCTCTCTTCTCTCTCTCCCTCTTTCCTCTCTCTCTCTCCCTCTCTCTCTCTCCCTCCCTCTCTCTCTCCTCTCGCACTCTCTCACTCCTTCTCTTCCATAATCTCTCTCTCTTCCCCTCCCCTTTTTCTCTCTTCTCCCTCCCCTCCCTCTATCTCTCTCTCCCCCTCTATCTCTCTCTTCTTTCCCTCCCTTCTCCTCTTCTCTTCTCTCCCCTCTCTCTCTTTCCCTCCTCTCTCTTTCCTCTCTTTTTTCTCTCTCTCTTTCTCCTCTCTCCTCTCCCCTCTCCTCCCTCTGTCTTCCCTCCTCCCTCCTTCTCCCGCTCTCCCTCTCCCTCTCTCCCTCGTCTCCCTCTCATCTCTTCTCTCTCTCTCCTCTCTCTCTCTTCTCTCTCTCTCTCTCTCTTCTCTTCTCTCTCTCTCTTCTCTGCTCTCGTCTTTCTCTCTCTCTCTCTCTCTCTCCTTTTCTCTCCTCTCTCCTCTTCCTCCTCCTCTCTCTCTCTCTCTCTCTTCTTCTCTCCTCGCGCTCCTCTTCTCCTTTCTTTCCGTGTCCTCTCTCTCTCTCTCTCTTCTTCTCTTTCTCCCCCTGCTCTCTCCTCTCTTTCTCCCCCTCTTTCTCTCTTCCTCTTCTCTCTTTCCCTCTTCTCTTCATCTTCTCCTTCTCTTTCTCTCTCCCTTCTCTTCCTCCCCCTCTCTC